CTGTAGCATGTTAGATGCAATTGAGACAAGTGCAAAGGAAAATACCAATATTGATGAAGCATTCCTCAGAATGGCCAAGGTATGAAGTGTCGATTTTCAGACTTACCATTTTTTTTTTCCTTCCTTTCACAACTCCTTTCCCTACAGATGGAACAGTTGTTAGCTTCTTGCTATTCTATCATTATTTTCATGGCTCATATTCAGGTGAACTACATTCCTTCATTCCACCAGTCCTGACCTTCATAGATCGAACTTGCCAGACCATGTCCACTGAATCGACTTATTTGCATTCCTTTCATATTCCATTAGTATGGAACAAGTTCCATTCAGACAGCTTCTTCCCCAGAACTGTTGCATTGTGGAATGGACTCTCAAAAGGATGCTTCCTCAATTAACCATTTCAAGTCTAGTCAACTGTTATCTATCCTACATATCCTCATAATGCACATCTCTTGCTCCCTCTCTTTGTACTTTCACAACTTTTAGTAACACTTGTCAAGAAAATCTCAACCCCTCATAAAAGCCCAGAGATGGTGCAGGCCGAGGAAAGGAGCAAAAGTACTTACCTTAAGTTGCGAAAAAATATTTCCTTCCGCAATACAGCTTAATTGTCTGATAACTTGCATCGAGTTACAAGAAGAGTGAAAAAAAGGAGGAAAAACATTTCCTTTCTAACCACTTCAGGGATTACGTGGTAGCAAGCCACAAAACTCTGTAACTATAAAAAGAAAATTAGTAAAAGGTAACAGCTTTTAGTCAACAAGAACCAACAACCCAGGTAAGTACATTACTCCTTCCCCCGCCTGAACTGTCAATTTCTCCATACTCTCTACCTTGAGTGGATTGGGGCCTTATATAAAAAAAAATTTTGAAAAAAAAATTTTTTTTTTTTTTTTTTTTTTTTTGTGGGAAGAGTAAATAATTTTCTATTATTGTTTCCTTTTAATAAAATAATTTTCAAAATTAGAACGTGCACAAGCATTACAGCTTGGCCGTTTTAGTGAAATGTTTACACTTGTTTATATTTTAAATATTTTTTTTTTTTTTTTATATATATCAGGAGCTGAAAAACAAAATTGGAGGAGAAAGTGCTCTTGAAAATGGTCCAGGAGGGAAAATAAACTTGAACACACGATCAGTTCGAACAGGCGGTTGCTGTAGCAGCAGTTCCTGATGGCCTTCTTTTTTTTTATTTTAACCTGGACATTTGCCGGCCAGATGTGGCAATGCGTGTGGGTGAAATACTGTGAAATGATACTGACACCATCCAGTCAGCCATTTTTTTTTTTTTTTTTAATACTCACTCTCTTTATTGGTTATCTCCCTTCCTTACTGAATACTCTTCACATACACACGTGATTGTGTGCCTGCCTGTATTTATTTTTTCTAGGGATGCTCTTTTAAGGCTGGTTGGTTGGTAACTGTTGTATCACAGGCAGTAAAACCATACATCTTGACATTTATGACTAACCCCTATCTCAGCGCCCACCTCCTTCTTTCATAAAATGATTATATTTGTTATAAAAAGGAAAGAAAGAACAGACATGTTAGCAATGTCAGGCGTCTTCTCCATAAATATTGCCTATTTTTGGGGATGGGGGGGGAATTTTTTTTTATGGATTTAAAAAAAATTCTATTTTGTTTATTTTTATTCACAACACTTCAATCCGTGGTGTTGGTCGTTTACTCTTTCCTATTTCTCAGAACAACCTCTCACCAGCACCAATGATTGAATAACGAGTATAATCCCAAACATTAGTTAATAAGACAAGAGGAAAGTAAGATATAAATAATAATAGTCTGAATATTTTTTTTTTTTTTTAAATACTTCATAAATATAAATTTTCCAAATTTCTGAATGTCATATGTCTGAAAACTGGCTTCTTTGAAACCATTCATAAATTGTCTTCACCGAATAATCAAGTTAGAAAATTAAAGGGAGATAACTGTCATGTCTGAATGTTTTTCTTTTGGTTTTTAATTTAAATTGTGTATCATTTTAAAAAATGACACCCGTTAATTTTAACGTGTTTAAGTTTACGATAATGAATGATTGAAAAGAAGTTAGTTGGTTTGTTTAAGAAGAGGATTATTTAATGTTGAAATCAGTTAAAGCCAATAAATTGACTGTCTTCTTTTCACACAATGAAAATAAGATAAAAAAAAAAAAATAATTATTATAAAACGAATAAAAAAAATGTAGAGACCTCTAATTCGCAGAAATAAATAGCATGAATAAAACAGCACGATAAAAAAAAGTCCCCCAAAATTAATAAAAAGAAAGTTTTATCGTCAAAATGTTTGGTCTTTCCTCTTACTATTAAAGTATTTTTTATTATTTATTAAATTTTTTTAATCCTTTCTAGTACGATCGAAATTTTGATTATAAATTTTTATTTTTTTTTTCGTCAGCGGTCGGCCTCATTTTTACTTTTTGGTGTTTTAGCGCTTTTTTCCGGTGAAAAAAAAAAAAAAAAAAAACATTGATTTGGAAATTCTTGCAAAAATCAAATAATTGTCGGATGTTCATGAAAATTTCAGGACTTATTCACAAATGAATTAAAATTAAATCATTTTTGAATTTTTTTTTTTTTTTATGTCTCCACTTAAATACTTAATTAGGCACGTATTTTAAATAGGAAAAATATTTAAAATCGTTTTGTTTTTAAGTCTTTTTTTAAATGTTTCCAAAATAAAAACAAAATAAAAATTATTTATTAAGCAACATTATGCGAATAAATGTAATGAAAAAAATATCCATTATTAGCGTAAACAACTTTTAAGATTCATAATTTTTTTTAAAAAGCGTTAAGATGTTATCTCCCTTTGATTTTTTTTTTAAACGAAACGAATCATTTGACGAACTGACAAATTTGATTTTTAACCGTTTCGGCGAAGACCGTTTTGAGGGCAAGTGAAATTCATTGTTATGATTGCCTCCTATAATTGGGACAGAAAATATCAGGGAAGGAATTAGATTTTAAGAAAAAAAAAAAAATGACCTTTGATTCTGCTGTCAGACTGGTTTCTTCTGCAGTGTGTTTGCCTTCAGCTAAAATAAAGATAGAATATGGTTCTCCCATAAAAAGAAACCCGTCAGCTTTCCTTGTAAAAATCAATTTTTTTTTTCTAGACTGTGACACTCATCTCAACATAAAGTGACAGGCTGATTTCCAAACAGATATCAAATTAGATTATTTTGAACTATGCCACTCATTTCATCAAATGTTTAATGTGTGAAGAATTGATTGAAATGATAAACTTTTTATATATTGATAATTTATTACTTGCTGCATTTTTCAAGCGTTAGATGACTTTAAATGAGTCTATGGAGAGAAAGCAAGAGTTTATGAATGTGCTCCCTCCCCAGTTTTGTTGAGTAATTAGCATGTACCTAATTGTCTATTTTTGAAAAAAAAAAAAAAAAAAAAAAAAAAAAAAAAAATTTTAGAACCTTTATATAAAGTGAAACATATCCTAAAAGACAAGTTTGTCATGAGTTCAACATGGGTGAAGGGCATTTTTGTGAATCAGTTTTTTTTTTTGAGTGTTGCTGATTAAAGGATTTGATCATTTGAACTAGAATTTAAAAAAAAAAAAAAAAAAACCCAAAAAAACTTACATTCCAAAACTTTAAGCTTTCTCTTTAGAAAGATTTTTTGCTTTTGTAGCTTAGCTTTAAGCAAGTCCAATTAAATTTCTTTCTCCTTCCAAAGCTATGTGATTACCTTGACCCCTACTAAAAGGTCAAAAAACAACCACGCTCATTACATAAGACCATCAATCTTTCTGACTAGGACTACTTTTAACAGTTGCATTTTGCAGTTAGAAATCTGTTGATGTTTCATTTACAAAGACCTTAGAGCAAAATTTTCAATTCTTTGTTTTTTTTCACTTTAAGATGAACAGACAAGAGAAATCATCTTAAGGTCTTACATTTCTTTTAAGTATTGAAATGGAATCTTTTGTCAGGAGATTCTTGGAGTTTAAAGTCTGATTTGGAGGGGGGGGTCAGTCTGAGCCAGAGGCTCAAAGTAGCATGGGGTACATTTTCTCCTGGCTCCCTGGCCTTTTTTTTTTTTGTGTTGTTATTGTTGCCCAGTGTATATTATTTGTACAGCAGTGGCTGTTGCCGCCTCTTTCTGGTGTATATGTCTTTTTGCTGGCTGTCATGAGCCACTGCTCTCAAAAATGATGTGCAAAGTTTTATTAAAACAGCAATGATGATGTTGACATATATATATATATATATACTTTTGTTTTGATTTTTTTTTTTTTTCCTTGGCCCAAGGAAGACTTAATTTTTCAATTTGTCTTTTTCCTTTTCAGCATACAACAGGCTTTATTAGAAGTTTATGAACACAAAGTTGATCTTTGAAATTACATTCAATTATTAGAAAGTATTAAAGGTGGCAGGTTCAGTTGGGATCTAGAACATTCATCTAAGAAAATTATGGTCTAATGTGGGGTTTATTAATAAACAAACAATACATGCCAATAAAGCACAAAGTATCATCAGTAATTATTGTTGGTATAAGTTTCTTAAACCTTCAATGAAACTGAAGATTTTGTACATGATTAATGTTAATTCATTAAAATTATAGACAGATTCTTAAATCTATTCAGTCTAGCAAGTACAAAGTAAAATTACTGGGGTACAGCAAGAGGAAAGACCTGGTGTAAAATATTAGTTGAATGGCTACGAGTTTGTGACCCTGGATTTCACACTTTGAGCACTTGTATCCATTCAACTAAAATGTTAGCTCTATCACTGATATTAGGCACTTCAGGCCAGGCAGTCATTTAGACAAGGAGAGGAGGTAGCCCATAACAGAGTTTTTATCCTGTTCAGTGCATTTTAAAGATTTGACTGGAAGGCATGACTACTAAGAGTAATCTTATTTTCAGTTGAAACTTTGAAGAAATAAAGAATAAAAAAAATAAGGCATTAGACAGTTACAAGGATTTTATTTTAAAATATTTAATCCGTTTTTTGAACTTCATTTCCAGTTTGCAGATTTGTTGTTGACGGGTCGTGCCATAAAACAGGGAGTTGCCATGTAAGCCTTGATTTGGGGCAAGGCTTCAAAGCGATCAAGGAAAGCTGTAAGTTTCGGTTTAGAACTCAGCAACTTTGCATCAAAAAGTTTATGCTGATCCAGCAACTCATACATAACAAAGTCAACAAAAGTGATCTGGAACAGAAAATAAATTTAGTTTTAAACTGAAGTACAATTATTCATTTTAAAAGTGATTATGTCTATGGTCACAATTGTTGGATCAATTCAAAAAGGTTTCATGAAATGAAGGATGACATTTATCACATTAAATTATCTCTGAATTAACATGCATTATTGGAGTGGTTTCCCCTTTGCCACAGTCTGGCATACAGTTTTCTTTCTCTCTCACTTCAGGCAACAACCAGTCTACCCTACTATTCAGCCCATAGATTGGGGTTGTGCCTTTCACAAGAGCATTTATACAAAAATAAAGAAGCCTAGAAGTTAAACTCAGCTTGCTAAGTCCATATTATATACAAAATAAAATTGAGTAAACAGTGGAACCTTGGTTTTGGAAGAAGTATTGAATTTACAGATTAAAAAAAATGTTCAAGTTAAAATCAATTAAAACTTTATGAAGGAAGTGACCCAATCTTGTGTATTACAGACAAGTATGTAGCCAAGGAAATGGCTAAAACTCCCTGTCCAATTAAGTAATAACAGATTCTAATGTTCAGTTTTTTTTGGTGGGGAGAATTGGTTTAGCCCGAGAACACTTTAGTGCCTGTATTTTGGATACAAAAGAACTAAGAGTTTGAAATTCAGTATGTAAATGAACAAGAGTTTAAAAGATCCCAAAATATTGAAACATTTGTTAATTTTAATACCTCTAAAACTAAAGTTCTCTCAATCATCTGAGAGACCCCTCTCTGCCTTCCATCAGTATGGCTGATGCTAGCATTCTCAGCTGACATGAAGTGAAAAGACAATAATGAATCTATTGCCAAGAAAATGGGTTCACTGTGTTGTGCAAGACAATTTATCTCCAGAATCTCTTACATATAAGTCTACTATTCATCCATGCTTAGAATATTGCTGCCATATATGGTACAGTGCACCTTCTATTTACCTTGATAAAATCTGAAGACTTGGCAGCTTAGCTTCAGTCACTTTCCCACTGCCCTAAGGTTGCCTCTTTCCCTTTTCTATAAATAATTTAATGGTAATTGTTCAAATGAGCTCTTCTCTATGATACCTAGATTTTGAATTTAAGTGCAGTACTAAACTGGCATGAAAATCCCATCAATTCTCAGCTGAGCTTGTGGAACTCACTTGCAGCACCATGTTTTCCAGCCAACTTTAATCAGCAAAATTTTAAATGCAATGTCAATCACTATGTAGATAGTGACTGACATTGCATTTAAAATTGTCGTCCTGATTACTCTTCCCGCTCATTAATGTTTCTGTTCCTAATTCTACCACATCCTGTAAACCCTTTTGTCTTGCATGGATTGGGTGATACTGATAAAGCCACTCCTTACCTCATTACCAGCAAACCAAGTTTTATCAGCCAAGTATTTTTCAAATAACTCCAGCATACTGACAACGTTCTTCAAATAGGCTTCCTTGTTCTTTTCCTGAAATATGGAAAAAACAATCAAATGACTTATTTGTTCATTTTATATATATATAAAAAAATTTGACTCCTCAAATATGAACAAATCAGCCAATAAGATACTCACAAAATCTGGACCATAACAAAGACGAACAAAGCCATTACGGAAATCCATGGCTTGATTCTCCATGACATCCACCAGAACTTTGCTTTTCTCATCTTTACCATCTGAAAAAGGAAAAATATTTCTGGTTACAAAGACAAACTTAACATGTTAAAGAGCAAAGATCAAATTTCATTTGTTAACTCAGAATTGTTTCTCTGAAAAGTTTTCTTTAAAAAAGAAAAATAGAAAATACTAACCAAGATTATGTTTTCTAGCAATATGGCGAAGAATAGCATTGCTTTGAGTGATTTTTATATCGCCATCAATCAAGTAGGGAAGCTGAAACAGCAAAGAGTAAAAAAAGTGTTAGTCATAAAATACCACAAAAAATAAAAAAGATGGGGGTAACCAAAAGGTGTATTGAATAAATCTTATGCCAAGAGAAGGAAATAGCCCAGAATACATTGCAGTTTTCAAAATTCCAGAGAGATATATATATATATATATATATATATAATAAAAACAGACCAAAATTTGAAATCCCTGCTTCTATCAAATATATTTTATATATTTGGAAAATATATATTTATCACGGCTGAATTCAGGACCTGAACAAATAAATAAAAGAAATAAAATACCCTTAAATATATGATGAAAGAATATTTTTTTTTTAATTTACAGATCCTATATAAATGGATTTAAAAATTTCATTGAAAACAAATGCAAAGAGTCTAAGAATAAACTCTTTGAATTGGATCAGACAAGATCAATATTGTAGAGGAAGGACCAGGCTAAAGACACCCTCATTACAGTTGAATAATTAAGTGAATGGAAAGTTAATGTCAGACTAATAACAGGGAAACATACATTTATAAGGTATTTTTGAAATTAAGAATAAGCAAATGTATAACTTTATTAATTGATATAAATTATATATTTGTTTATTTTAAAATGCTTATATCCGTTATTTAAAAACAAGTCTGAATCTCACCTAAATAAAATTGATTTGACACTTGATAAAGAAATCAATCTTTTAAGTCTAAAAACTAATCTACAAAAATTTACTTTTTTTTTTTTTTTTTATTAAAAAAAGGGGAGAAAATTTTTTTTTAATTTATAAAAAGTTCCAACTATATATTTTCTAATAAATGACACTTCATGCATATTGAAATATAAACACAATCTTGAAAATTTGTTAATGCAAAGTCAACAGAAATGGAGTTTCTTCAGATTTAGTGTTCTAATTAAAGAGGTCACCAATGCATTCATGCTTAACACTATTTTATTGTTAGGGTAACAATTTGAAAATATAAACGTGTGTGGGTGATTTGACATTTGCAAAGCTTCAAGGAAGGTTTTGCCAATAGCTAAAGAGAGAACTTAATGTGAAATCATCCAATTGCTGCAAGAGGAAGATTTTTATGATGGAAAAACCTGAATTGATGAAAAGATCCAACCTTGCTGAAAAAACAAAATTTTATTGTCTAAATGCTTATGTTATTATTAAGAGGAAAGACCAAAGTTTTTTTTTAATTATTTTTAAAAAATTTTTTTCTTTTTTAGAAAATTCTAAATTTTGATTAAAAAACTTGTTTCTATTTGTATCACCGGAACTAGTAAATAACATAGAAATTTTTAGCACGTTTTTTTTTGGTATGACACATTAATTTGAAAAATCTTGCAAAAAAATAAAAATAATTATCGGATGTTAATGAAACTTTCAGGAACTATTCACAGATGATCAAAATTATTATAAAATGTTTTTTTTTTATGAAAGTCATGGTAGAAATATTTTTAAAATATTTATTACCCCCCCTAATAACTAATTTTATGAAAAAAATTCTATCGCATCGGTTTTAGTGATTACAATAATTAAAAGCACAGGGCTTTGAGGAATGCAAATCATGTTTTTTTTTGTTTTTAATTGGACCCAGTACCTGAAAATCAGCTCTGAATTGTAACATACAAAACTCAATAAAACAAAGATATTATTTAATTTCAAATGCTTTTATTTGCTTTTAGTTGTTTTTATGAATATGGACAATATTTTCTGAAAGCAAAAAAATTTTTCGATGAAAAATGAATTTTAATACAATTATTTGTTATTTCATTAATTATAATAGATTTTACATTTAAGTTGTTAAAATATTATAAAATTAGTTAAAAAGCAGCAAGGGTTTCATAAGTGTCCTTATGAGATAGATCTTTTTTAGCGCGTTGTAAATTGTATCATTTTGACTAATCAGAAGATCCCCAGTAATTAAGAAATGTAATTTTGTGTTTATAATCGAGCTGTAATTATAAAATACGGAAGACCAACCAGAATATAATTAAGTTGCGTTATTTGAGTTAAGCATTGTTCTCCGCTGTTAAGGCCTTTACTTTTTAAAAAAACACGTGTGGAGAAGTTAATTTGATTTTTCAATTTCAACTGAGAAGGTTACCTACAAGTATCAGTATCATCTTATGAAATTTATATGATCTTATTTTTTATATTAATCTCAGTTATGACATTTTTCCATAAATGAAATATCAAAATTAATAATAAAATGAATGCAAATACAAATAACAGTAGAATGTAATAAATGTACATAAAATTATAGTATTTTATGTACAATTCTGATAATTTTTCATAAGAAAGGTACCTTAAATTAATTAGATACCTTTCTTAAGAAATATGAAATTTAATGTCACTCTTAACAGTTTTATTTTAATTTCTTTATAAATATATTTCCCATAAAGCATCATAAACGTAAAGGTGAAAAAAAAAAAAAAAAAAAAAAAAAAAATTAGACCGCTGAAAGTTTTTTATTAAAAATAACGGGGTAAATAATTTGTTCACGTAAATGTAAATTATTTCACTTTTCTCCTTCCGTAGAACAAATTAGCCTCATGGAATCCGTAAATATATCATTCATCACATGTCAAGAGACGCGAAAGTTTATGACCTGCTTTGTTTTATTTTCAAATTACATCTTTTTGGCACAAAAGCTAAGTTAAGTTTGGTTCAAAATATTTTAAATAAACATTATAATTTCTGATTTTTCTTAAAATAAGTTTTGAAAAAATGATAATTGATATTTAAAAAAAATTTCAAAGTCAGATTTCCAGTTTTTTTTAAATGAAAAAAAAAAATTTGCTCAATTTTGTTGAAAAAAAAAACTAGATTTTTTAACGAAAATTTTGGACGTGCTAGGAACGATTAAAAAATGGAAAAAAAAATTTAAAAAATACTTTGACCTTTCCTCTTAATAATAACAAACATTTAGACGATAAAATTTTTTTTGTTTTCGTCAAGTTTGGCGTCTTTTTCATCATGCTATGCTCTTTTTTTTAGCGATCTCGTGGAGGTACCTAACTAAAACATATTTTTAAGACATATTTTCCAACCAATTATTTTCATTTTAAAATTAAAAATAACTATAAAACAAGGTACATGCCTTAAATGACCTCAATAATGTAATCGGTCAATTATTATCCCATATTGCATTTTATTCTCAATTTCCATGTTCGCCAAAAACTGGGAGAGGGCCTGCTCACAAAAGATGAAGAAATGCCAAGAAATGTGAACCTCATTTCCAAATTATAAGGGGAGTTTTTTTTTTTTAGGTTTCACCTGCTTGTCCAGATGGGTAGGTAGGCAATATTTAGGACATATTCTGCCCTATCAGCTCACCTACCCCCAATGACATATCCCAACATGTAGCTAGTAATATGAATGGACAACATCGGACATGTGCAATGGACAAGTCAGTCTCCCACTTTATATAAAAATATTTAAACAATTGCAAAAACAGTCACCGTCAAAATATTAAACACTGTCTTATTGTACTCTAAGTTTTCATAATTATAACTTATTGATACTAGTTTCCCTTGATGTACCAAGAACATAGATTGTACCCATACTAGCAATGACAAATAGCTGGTTGTCACTTGCAGCAAAAGAGTAATATCAACTTACCATCTCCTTGTTCATACTGGACATCTTCAAAATCTTGACCAACATATTTCAATAACAACCTGATTGGCTGGGCCAACTGCAACAGAATAAGAGAAAAATTTAAGTGAAAATTCTGTAGTCTATCTTGTCAATTTTGCACACAGTCAATGAATTCAGTCATGTCTAGGTAGTTATTTTGATAAATCTATCTCAGAAAACATCTTAATTTGGTCTTGAGGGAGGGAGAAAAAAAAAGAAAATTCATTTTATAATGATAAAAGCTCACTTTAAATTAAAACTCATTGCTCGATAGCCAAATATCATTTCACTTATGTGGTAGATAAGAATGCCACCTTACAGTGAAGATAATTCATCTGAATTTCTAGAATGAAAAATTTACAGTTAGACTAATATCCTAATCTTTGTTGTTGATAAAGATTCAGCCATTGTTCCCCCCCCTTCTTCACCTGTCAATCTGGGTAACTTTCAGGTAATTTTGAACTGACCCTGTACTTAATCTATGTGTGTGTGTGTGTGTGGGGGGGTTAGTGTACAGAGTGGTCCGAAAGTTTTGTCACCTACCAAAAAGTAATTCAAACAATACATGAACAAGTGATACAAAACATATATACTGGATTGAATTTATTCACTTTCATTGACACTGTCACACATTGAGAAGGTCTTCCCTCTCCCATAATGGTAAGTTATTAACTAGATGAAGATGCCATTTCCACTAAGGGCTTGCCATTATGTGGAAGGTATTTCTTCTGCACCTTGTATGAAGCCAAGAAATATACTTTCATGATCAAATAGTGATGTGCTCATCTTGTTTCAGCTGTTTTGCTCTGTAGCCTTCTTCAGATGCCTGGAAATCTGAGCAACCTTCATGGAATTTCAAACTGAACTCTTTACTTCATCTACCAGAATAGATTATTCCAATGTCACAGGCTATCTCTTGTCCTTAATTAGTGCCAGTCCTGTTTTCACCAAGTAGAGTTCATGCTACCCAACCCAGGTATTGAACTCCCAATTACAATGTGACCAACTTCATGGTGCAATTCTTTAATCCAGGTGGATTAAAGTGCCGATTCTTCAACATTCAAGCACAAAAGCCAAAAAAAATAAAATAAAATACAGACATGTAATAAAACATTCTAGACTTTAGAGCCATAAAAAGGTTACTCACCCTCCTCACAGTACATCTCAGTTGGTTATTGTCTATTAACAACTAGCAGCATGGCCTGACGTTGCCCGTGCTTGATTCAAAAATCGTACAGCTCATACAGCAATCGCTATCAATTGACTTAAAATATTTTTGCCCTTCCTTGCCTTTAAAGGAGTGCCCTTTGTCGTGATGTTGCTACATGCCTTACTTCTTGCCTATCTCACACTGCAAATTTTTTCTAAGCTCTATACTAAACATTAAATCTGTTAAGAAAAAGAACTAAAACAAAATGAACACAAAACAATCAGCTTTAAAAAAAAAAAGGACTTGTAACTGGAAAAACTGAATGAAAAGAAAAAAATGTTAAATACTTTTTCACACCCAACCCAGTTTTGCGGAATCAGAATCAACGTTGAGTTTAAGCAAGTGAATGAGCCAATTGGAGTAAAGTACCACGTAGATTTAAATTTTTGCCCACTTGAGACGAATACAGCTATCGATTTTTGCATGCTAGTTAACATTCGTGTCAGTCAGCTGTTGGCTCTCACTCGTCAAATTGCAGCTATGCATTCGTTACACACACACACATCCTGCCTTTTATAGATAGAGATAAGTAGACATGTACATTTTATAAAGGACTTTATATCCAGTTGTAAAACATTGAATTGTTAACAGTCATAAATAAAACTGAAGTAGCTTTTATGAGAACATAATTTATTGTTTATGATTTTATGACAAGGTTGTTAAACTTAGAAAAACTTTAATAAAAAAAAAAAAAAAAAAAAAAAAGTCCAATGTAAATTTCAGAATTTAAGCTAGTTTTAAATTTGGTTCAGTTGCTGTGAAAATTGCATTGTATGTACTGTGGCAACAAATGGATACCAGGAGACCTGGCCACATGAAATACAAAAGTATTAAATATTTGGTTAATTTGTATTAATTCCCCAAAACCAAATGTAATGAAAATTTTCAATTATGGTGTGAAATTGCCTGACTATTTCAAAAATAAAAGTTTGCACTCATACCGTTTAAGAGTTCAATCTTAGTTCAGCCTTTTTTATACTGCCATTTACATACATTTGTCTTACTAAATAATGCACAGAAGCTTACTTAGTTAACAGCCTTTTTAATCATCTTACTAGCCTTGATTACTGCACAATTTAATTGAAATTGTGCATGCTTTGCTTAATACACATTACTTTTCTTCTAAAAAAGAAGCTTTAAATTAAGTACCTCCATGAAATTGCTAAAAAAAAAAAAAAAAGAAAAAAAAAAAAAGAAAAAAAAAAGCATAGCATGATGAAAAAGATGCTAAACTTGACAAGACAATTTTATCTGTTATGTGGAAAGACCAAAGTATTTAATTATTTTAAAATTTTCTTTAGAAAATTCTAAATTTTGATTAAAACAAATCTTGTTTCTCTTTGTATCAACAGAAAGAGTAAATAAATTTAGGTTTTTTTGTATGGAAAATCTTGCAAAAATAAAAATAACTGTTGGATGTTAATGAAACATTCATAAACTAGTCACAATTTTTTTTTTTTTTTTTTTTTTTTAAAAAGTCATGGCAAAGTTTTTTTTTATATTTATTACCCCTTTCCCCCATAACTAATCTTATGAAAACTATAAATTCAATAGCATTCAGTTTAGTGATTATATTAGTTAAAAATTACAAGGCTTTGAGGAAAGCAAATCGTGTATTTTTTGTTTTAATTGGACCCCCCTCCCACCTGAAAATCAGCTCTGAATTGTAACATACAAACTCAAAACAAAGATATTTAATTTCAAATGCTTGTATTTGCTTTTAGTTGTTTTTATGAATATGGACATTTTCTGAAAGCAAAAGACTTGATGAAAAATGAATTTAATACAATTATTTGTTATTTCTTTAATTTTACATTAAAGTTAAAATATTATAAAATTAGTGAAAACGGCATTCAGTTTTGTAAATGGCCTTATGAGTTTTTTTTTTTATAGCATTGTAAATTGTATCACTTCAACCAAATCAGAAGACCTGCACTAATTAAGAAATGTAAAGTGTTCATAAAACAGCTGTAATTAAAAAGTACAGAAGACCAACAAGAATACAATTAAGTTGCGTTATTCGAGTTAAGCATTGTTCTGCGCTGTTAGGGCCTTTAATTTTGCAAAACATGGAGAAGTTAATTTGATTTTTCAATTTCAACTGAGAAGGGTACCTACAAGTATTAATATCTTATGAAATTTATATGATCTTATTTTCATATTAATCTCAGTTATGACATTTCCACAAATAAAATAGCAAGATTAATAAAATGAATGGAAATACAAATAACACAGTTAATCTCACTCTCAGCAGTCTTAATTTTTTTTTTTTTTTTTTTTAAATATATTTTCCATAAAGCATCATCAACATAAAGGTGAAAGCTAAGTACAAAAAAAAATTTAGAGCACTGAAAGTTTTCCTTAAAACTAAGGAGGTATCTAATTTGTTCACTTAAATCTAAATAATTATGTCATTTCTGTCCTTTTGTACGACAACTTTTCCTCACATAAGCTGTCAATGTGATGAAATCATCACTCATCACCTGTAAAGTGACAAAATGTTATGACTTGCTTCGATTTATTTTAAACTACATCTTTTTGGCACAGAAACTAAGTAATGCTTGTTTCAAAATATTTTAAATAAACAAATTCTGATTCTTAAAATAAGTTTTCAAAAAATTATAATTGATTTTTAAAAGAAATTGAAACAGATTTATTTATTTTTTTTATTATATAAAAATGGAAGAAATTGCCATGATTGATTATCTGTCAATTTTACCGATTAAAAAAAAAAAAAAAAAAAAAAAAAAAAAAAAAAAAAAAAAGTAAATAAAAAAATTTTTTTAATGAAAATATAGGATGTGCTAAGAATGATTAGAAAAATAATTTGATCTTTCCTCTTAATAAAATCAAGACAATTTTGTTTGGAGTCTTCATATACTCTTTTTAGCAACCTCATGGAGGTACCTACTTTAAATGGTTTTCTTTTTAAATTAGCATAAATTCGTTTTTCCAATTAAATTGATTAACCAAAATTGCAAAGCGAGTCTTTAATAAATTTTTTTTTAAATTTATTTAGAAAAACAGTTGAAAGCTTTCTAAATAAATGTGTCATGGGTGAACCTTTTTTCCACCCAAAAAAGAAAATGATAGTGTCTTAAGAATTCTTTTGGCTTAAATTATGATTAACTCAAGACATTTATTTAGAAAAGCAATGGGGAAAATAAGACAACGGCTATTTTTGTTTTCTGGTGAAAAACAAGTTGTTTTGGAAATTCTTGCAAAAAAATTGATTTTAAAGAAACATTCACATTTTAACAATTTAAAAGGTAAATTTGTTTTTAACGCCCAAACACTAAATACCTCTTAAAATTTTCCCAAATCGTTATATTTCCGTGTAAATGTACATGCTGAACTAGAGTTAACAATCAAATTATGAAAAAAAAAACAAAAAAAAAACCTTACAGTGAGTTATAGACAAGAAAAATCAGACCTCTTGTTGATTATTCATCCACCATTACTGCCATAATGTTCAGTAAATCAGTGCGGAAAACTTCCGGCAGCGTAAGCATAAATTTTGGTCTATTTACTTCTTTTACAGCTAGATCTCTTTTTGAAATCACTACGCATTATCATAAAGAAATTTTTTTTTTTTGATAAGTGTAGTTTTTATTTATAACAAAGCTTTAAACAAAAACAAATTAAATAATACAATAAAGCATTTTTTATATTTTAAAATTGAAAATAAAACAATAATGCACAAACTTTGTAAAGTAGAAACAAAATAAAGGTTGATTGTATTATTTAATGTTTTTTTTAAATTTTTCCCCTCTTCTACACAGAAAGAACCCTAGCCCAAAATAGGTTGGTCCATTTTTCACTAAAAAAGTGGCACACCCCAATGAAAA